TCAGCTCTTTTCTTCTTTATGGACTTTCCCTTTTGCTTTTTTTCCAAGGTGGCCTTTCTCTTTCCTTCTCTTTGGATCTTCTTTCTCTCTTTCTCGGCCTCTTTCTCTACCACATTCCATTCTTTTTGCTGTTTCCCTTTTTAGCCTCTTTTTCTATTTCTCAGCATCCTTTTCCGCCTTCTTTCTAGCCCTCTCTCTCTTTTTCTTTCCTCGATTAAAAGTAAAAATTTAGTCTGATACAAGTTCACAATGCGGGGGGGGGGGGGGGGGGTTAAGGCGCTACTGGTTGGTCCTACTTCTTTTCTTTCCTTCTTTTGTTTCTATCTGTCTTACTTTTTCCTAGCACTAAATGACCATTTTTATTGTGTTGATGTGTTTCTCTTGTCTAAACAAACAAACAAGTTCACAACACAAATTTTATTAGATCTTAGAACTAAAACAAGTTTTGTTAACTTTTTTCTCGTCCGGCCGATAATAGGGCAACACCAGCTAAAATAGCTGCCAGTTACCGGCCACCCCACTCAAACGGTGGGAATTTTCAACCAGCAGACGCAAATAGACAAGTCAGGCATGGATTGCTCAAAGCTTATTGGTTGACACCTTGGAGGAACTATTAATAGAGAGGCCGCGAGTCGCGTAACGTGAAGCCGCTGCAGACGACGGTCGGCCATGTTTGTGAGATCAGTTCAGTTCTCTCTGTTGTAAACTTAGTGTCGACCGAATGGCTGTTCGCGTAGCGTTCGGGTCCGGTGGGCCTCTCATTCAAAGGTCCTGGGTTCGAATCCGAGTAGTGACGGAAAAATTTTGTTCTCTAAAATTCTACTTTCTCTTTCGTCTGCTTTCATCTCCACTTTCTGCCCCTACCTCCTCAGGGCTCCGGACTCTTTCTGCAGCCTTTCTACAGCTACTCCTTGGCTCCTTCTTACCTCTGTCTTTCAGCCACACCCCTGATCTTCTGGTAGGAAAGATCTACCCCTAGCCTTCTCGGACAAGGGCGAAAAAATCTCGGAGGTCGCGTATGCACGTTGCGCAAATTAAAGATCCCTTGGTGGTCTAAAATCGATAAGAGTAGGCTTCGGTCGCCACCCAGGCAAAATTCAAAATTTCCTACCAACTTAAAATGTTTAATGTGTCCCTCGCACTCATATGACTTATGCAGTTGCGAGTGCCGTAAAACACTTATATTATAAGACCTATGAAAAATGTTTTTAAAAATATCAGTCTCCAGCAATGGCACTGAACTTGATGACGAAGTGCTTTCTGATTTAGCCGTAAATGCATCTCACAGTAAAAACAGAATGAAAAAAGATTGCAGAAAATTCAGTTTGCCACGTATGTGCCTAGATCTAGTCTAGCATACTTTTTACTTGTCAATTTGCTCTGCATGTTGCTTACATTGCTGGTTTTGTGTTGTTAAGGTTGACAAAGCATTTGAAAATGTGAAACCTGCATCGGTGCCTTTGTTGACTCCAATGTGTCAAAAGTAAATTTCTTTCTGTTTTTTAAAGTCTCGTCGGAGGTTCGACAGTGCCTTCAAAGAATGTCATTGAAGTGTGTTTGGTGTGTGAATAACATTTTTGATGCCATGTGTCGTCTGTCTGTGCAGGGGGTGTGACATTGTCAAGAGAGAAATGTCATAAATTAGTGCAATCTGTTTTGAAAATCTTATAATAAGCCTATCATTTTAAATTCTCTATTAATTTTTCAATACCCTTAACAGTATTTTGTAAAATTTAGATAAAGTGTCTGGGTGTTTTAAAGGTGCCCCTCCCTCCTCGTTTTATTTGGGGGGGGGGGGGGGGGGCTGTTTTATTCTTTCTTTTTTTTTTGTGTGTGTGTGGGGGGGGGGGGGGGGTAATTTCCACCACCATACTTCACTCTTATCTGCCTTGCCCTCTCCTTCCTCATTCTTCGCCCATCCCATCCCACCCTCACTACCATATTTTGTGTAATCATTTTCAATTTTGTTAGAAATATATTCTGTTGTAAGTTTAAGTCAAGAAGACTATGTTTTTGTAAAAATAATGTCAGTGATGACATCATTTTGCACTGATGAAGTTCTATGACCGAAAAGTCTGCAAATTTTGTTATCCCGTTTATATTTTTGTTTTGATCCTTATTATCCCAATTTCTTCTCTAAAACAAGTTTTAAAAAATTATCTTACCGTCACAATGTGTATACATAGTACATGTATTACCAAATGTTTGACTGAGTGAGCTGGTAATTTGATGCAAGTAAGATCTTCTTACCGTCCTTATTATATTATTACTATCAAGAAGTCTTCGTTTTTGTAAAAATAATGAAGTTCGACTTCCAAAAACTCAGAAAATGTTATCATCTCGTTTATAATTTTGTTTTGATCCTTATTATCCCAATTTCGTCTCTAAAACATGTCAAACAGAATATCTTACCATCACAATGTGTATACATAGTACACGTATTACTGTAATTGTAAATATTCGACTAAATGAGCTGGTAATTTGATGCAAGTAAGATTTGTTAACATCCTTATTACATTACAACTGTACGTGAGTGCTTATAATGCTGTAATTAACCCTCATCCTGCGGGAGCCGGGTTTATGTAGCCCGATAAGCCTATTTCGGCACCTCGCCTGCGTTCTGGTCCCGAGTCAGTGTAGCTCCTGGCTCAGCGCACGCGCATCCTCTTACGTGTCATTTGGGTCCCGAGTCGGATCCCCATTCACGCAGGTCAAGTGTGTGCGCGTCAGTCTGCTTGAGTTTGTGTGCGTTTGTGGCCTTCTTCTAGAACCACCTGCGTTGGTTCGTAATCGAGGCATACGTCTCATTCAAAACATGCCAAGTTGATAGCTCTAATAGATGTTCGTCCAATGAAATTAAAGAAGAAATTGACCCACTTAGACATGAGGAGCTCGAAAGGATAGTCAGGAAACAAGACTTCCATTTTTCTATACAAAATATTTCAAATGAGCTTGATTTTGTATGAAATGATACTACCTGATAAAAGATGAGCTTGTTTAATAGTTTTGAATACCCTTGTGCAGGTACAAAGAACAATTTGAGTGTAAAACATTCGGAAATTGACCTAAATTATCCCTTTTCGAACCTCAGGTCATTCATAACAACAAGAGCGTCCAGAAAGGTTATTCAAATGGGCGTAACTACTCGTAATGTCTTATCAGCTTGTGAGAGGGGGTTATTCATGTGTTTGTAACACTTTATAAATAGAATGCTATGAAGGATAGAGCGTTATTTTCATCATCAGTTAACACACTCCCGCGGTATTCATGGCGAAAACACACGTTTCCCGGCGCGCGCGCTGTACACCAACAGTACACACTGAGTGACCCGGCGGCCTGCCCGGCGAGTCCGACGTAATTGGTTGCTGATAAGATACGCATCTGGGCACAGACGCAGGATAAGAGTTAACATTGACAAAGAAATTTTGAGAGACAATGGAGTCCGAGCAGCTTGTTTTGAAAGGAGATTACGCTGCGTACGCTGCATTGTTTTGCACTTACAAAGATGGCGGCATGCCCGATAAGCTCCGCCCTTTCGGCTTCAACTTGGTTGGAACTGTTGAGCGGGCGACGCAACGTAAGAAGGGCCTCTCCCTATATAGTTACTCCAAGGTTGACACACCTGGCCTTGTTCGGGGAGGATAACAGTGGCGGCTGAAGTGAGGTGGGGGTTCTGATAACTTTCGATCTCAGCCAAAAAACACAGCAATGGCGCTCCTGTGATGGCGAAAAGGTAGCAGGATAAACAAAGACTGCCCGAGTGCAACAATTGTTGACCAATTGGAACAATTGTTGCATAGAGGTAAGATTTTGTCACGAAAAGTACGGCATGCGCTGAGAGCGGCCGATAATGAGGAGGCGGCCGGTAAGAGGCAAGAAAGTGGCTATTCTCACCCGCCCGGAAGTTCTCGCAAGATCTACTCCTCCCCTCTTCTCTCTCTCTCTGTCTCTTTCTGAATACTGTCTATCGGTGTGGACGATCAAATTGACCAAAACCAAGTTAAAAAATGATGTTAAAACACAAAAGTAAATTAATTTGGTTGCCTACAAAGATTCTCTCACTCTCTCTCTCCACTGCCCACAGACAAAATTGTACGCTTTTTTTTAGTAGTTAGTAGGCTAGTTGTAATGGAACGTTTGTTCACAGCACATAATTCTACAATTTTTCTGTGTTATCACAGTGTACAATTCTGTGGTTTAGGGTGAACGCAAAATTTGTTGGCCTAGATCTAGGCTATAACGGTGAACGCGCACCGGGTGAGAATGGCCAAAAGACTCGCCTGCACTATTGGACTATTCTCACCGAAAGTCGAAAGTGGCTATTCTCACCCGCCCGGAAGTTCTCGCAAGATCAACTCCTCCCCTCTTCTCTCTCTGTCTCTTTCTGAATACTGTCTATCGGTGTGGACGATCAAATTGACCAAAACAAAGTTAAAAAATGATGTTAAAACGCAAAAGTAAATTAATTTGGTTGTCTACAAAGATGCTACGGCTATTTAACTTTTCGAATCGATCGAACTACGCGGGTCGCCATTTTGTTTTGCCCGGAAATTCTCGCGCTACTCCTCTCTCTCTTTCTCTCTCCACTGCCCACAGACAAAATTGTACGCTTTTAGTAGGCTACAGTTGTAATGGAACGTTTGTAACTTTGTTCACGGCACAGAATTCTACAATTTTTCTGTTATCACAGTAGTGGGTGAACGCGCACCGGGTGAGAATAGCCACAAGACTCGCCTGCACTATTCTCACTCCGCACAAGACTCGCCTGCACTATTCTCACTCCGCGGGTGAGAATAGAGGTGGCCATTCTCACCCAGGGTGAGAATAGAGGTGGCCAAGAGGCAATGCACTCTAGATCTATGTCAATGTAATGTGTATAGAGTCTAAATCAAGGATGATGTAGAGAGAGTAGCCTATAGATCTAGAATTAACTTAAAAGACCAGCTTTTCACAAATTTTAGACATTCGTATACTTCCAGAGTTGGTAAAAAAAGACTTACCATGTGGAGTATGCTTGTTATAGAACCAGTAACAACAGAAAGACGGACGAGCTGTGAACAATCGTGACTGAGATTCAAAATGGCGTCCGGAAAAATATAGTGTAATCGTGCAAAATAGTGCAAATGACTACGCGATTACGCGTCGTCAGAACAAAAACCTTCGTCGATCAGACGGTTCGGTATCGCAACTCTCGACATTCGTGTATTTAGATGAGCAGAATAGATCATATAAACATAATCTTAATTTCATTCAAATATGTGCATTTCGTACTTGGTCTTGACCTATTGTTTAGAAGAAACGTTTCTTTTAGTTTTAGTGATAGCTTTTAAAAGAGACTGCACTAAACACCTGTAGTTCATGAAAGTGAAAGATTAAAAATATTCATAAACTTTTAAATCCCGATACATGTCTGGTAGTTTTTGTCATAATGTAGTTCAATGGGCTACAACTCTGTCAACAGCAACAGAAGCAGCAAGCATTTAGAAACAGCAGGCTTGATGAGTTTCAATTTTTGAATTTCGAATTGAATAAATGCTATAGGGGCCAAGGACAATATACAAACTTAATCATCGCTTATAAAAAATATATTCTTTACTTTTGAGTCCCGATGTTATTTTTAAAAATTCAAATGAAGGTAATGTTGCTGGTGTTGTTGTTTTTTTAAACTTGTGGTCAAAGTCATTTCGCGAAATAAATTAAGCACGTATTTGCATGGTTTTGATAATTTCATGCTGCAGGACTATTTCACTAAAGATAATTAAATGCCAGGCACTTCAAACCTGTGCAAATGGTATCGAGTTATGATACCAGGCCATAGATGTACACTATAGGCTAGGTTTAAAAGGAGATAACCCTGTGTGTATTAGCATGGTAGGCTAGATTCTGCTAGGCCTAAGAAGCTATAAATTTCAAGATCGATACCCTAAATATCTGCAGCAACATAAAGAGAACAGCCTTGGCCTAAATCAAGCCCGAAAATGACGTCTTGAAATATAGCTAAAAATAGAAGAAAGCATTGACACTTCCGATCCTGCCGACTTGCATGCTGGGGGAAATGAAGAAAATACACCGAAAGAAAAAAAAATTAATTAAATTGATAATGAACAGTTGGCTTGGTCTTCTATTATTACAACAAATTTTACAAACAAAATCTAGCCTTTAACTGGTTAATTTTGTCAATCACTCCATTGCAAATTGCACTTTTCAACACAACTTTATGGGCCTAATTGCTCCAAAAAAAAAGAAGCCAAACCAGGGTCAATGAGACGGTTTCGTCGCCATAGTTAGTAAAACAACTCCTGTATATAATTATAATTCTACCAAATTCCAAGCAAAAATTTAAAGCGGGGCACACGACACACCCTGTGTCAGACGATGAAACCTGTGCGTTAAGTAGAAACAATTCAAGTTAGAAAATTCCCGCTCGCATTTTTGGCTACATATTGTTTGGCTAAATTCCTGTTAGGTATCATAAAGGAATTTGCTATACCGGTACTGTTTTCGTGACGAGAGTCTTGTATGCGCCACATACAGGAGTTTGCAGAACAACGCCGCCCTTCTTTGGGTCTCCCTGTGTTGAGTTGCATAGTTGTATCATGGATATACAGGAGTCATAGGAGTTGACACGAATGATAGTGACAGGGAATGACGACGTGTGTGGCACGGACATCGCATGTTCTGACGCTAATGTAATAACGCTTGGACTTAAGACTTAAATGTAAAAAGTCAGTCAACAGCACAGCACTGATTTCTGCCAGCGATTCTGACAGTGATGTGGACGACTATCTTCCACTTTCCACCCTAGTAAAGGCAACAAGTACACCAAGTTTCTAGGCCTCAGATCAGCGCACTCCCTCGTCTTCGTCTTCCGCGACAGTACATAAATACGGTGATCTTATACTTTAGCATGTTAAATTCCCAAAGTCTACTGATCCCCGACTCAGACATTCCAAACTTTGAACTGGGCCTAAAAATGCGCAAACTACCGTAATTTTGTCATGAACAGATCGTAAAACAATAACAGTGGTTTCCGATCTTCCATCATGATTTTGGAAGCTATTGAGTATAATCTTGATGATAAAGAATTTAGATACAGATCTTATAGTGGTCGCTCGTTTCGGAAGTCCTCAATTGAAGAATTTAACGTGCTAAATTATAAGATCACCCAAACCCCTTTCAAATTGATGATGTCACACCGACTTGTCCCACGACCGTCCGTCCTCTCCGAAGTGTTCTCAGAGGTTACGGACAATGTCACCAAGAAAGTGTCAAGAAAACGATCACGCGAGCCGGACAAGTGGAGACAAAATCAGAGAAAAGCTCTCAACAACAGTGGGGAGGCATACATTCGCTTCAAAGGGAAGAAATTGGCTTCAAAAGTCATGAGCCAAGGTTGTAACAAAACTTGTCCCACATGCCACCAGAAATTGGATGCACAAAAGAAACAAAGTACAGTAGCCTATATTATTCTCCGACTATTGGAAGTGTGGGAGACATAAACCTCCAGATTGTCTCGTGTGTCAAAAGGTCATTCCAACTGGTGTTGTTTGAATGGAAGTTTAGGTGTTGTTTTTCTCTGTTAGTTTTGATGTTTTGAAAAGTGGTGTTGTAGTTTGCTTGGGATAAGTTTTTGGCGAGAGATGTAGCTATTGTGTTTGCGATGTCTACTTGTGTTTCAGCTGTGGTTCCATCCGGCCTCTGGACGTGCCGAATGGTGTCTGTGCGTCTACCTAAATTTTTTTAAAGCAATTTTGAAAACTTGGTTGAGTGGTGTCTGGCTGTTGATTTTGGAGATGTATTTTTGAAATGATTGTCTTTTGCTCTCCCTGAGGCATCTACGTGCCACAGCTCGAGCATTTAAATAATTGATCTTGTTTTCTATGGTGGTGTTGTTGACGGCCTTTCGATACGCTGCCTTCTTTTTCTTTACTGCGTCCTCACATTCCCAAGAGAACCAGATCTTGTTCCTCCCGGGTTTTGTTTTTGTTTTTGGTATGTGTTTGTGGCATATTTCTAAAAGCTTTTCGTGGAATTTATTGCAGTTGTGGTCGAAGTTGTGATTAAGAATCTGGGAACATTGATTGGCAAACCCGTCCCAGTATGCTTTTTTGAAGTTGAAGCGTTCTGGGATCGGGTCGTTTTGGAGGCAATTGTTTTTTTTAGGAGAATTGGGAAATGGTCCGTACGGTCATTCAGCACAGACCACTCAAGATCTTGGACTAGGTCAGGGGTACAAAAGGTGAGGTCAAGGGATGAAGTGTCATAAGTGGCTCTGTTTCTGTAAGTTGAGGATTTATCATTTAAGAGACAGATGTTATTTTGAAATAAAAAGTTTTCTATTATTTTTCCTTTCTGTTCTATAGGTTTGTCTCTCCAAATGGGGTTGTGGGCATTGAAATCACCTAGCAAAATAAAGGGTTTTGGAAGCTGGGCCTTTAAGTCATTTAGTTGGGTTATTTTGAGGGGGTAATTTGGTGGGATGTAAACTGAGCAGATCGTGATTGGTCTGTGCAGGGTGACCCGTGCGGCAATAGCCTGGAGGGTCGTCTTAAGATGTACTTGTCTGTACAGTGTGTGGTTGTCGGTGTAGATGGTGGTACGGCTTCGAAGAAACACTCTGACTTCTCCTTGCGGGGGAGGCAGAGTGTTTTCTAGGTTGCCGTCCTGGATTGGACGGCGGTCTAGTGGGGGATTTGGAGGAGTGACAGACTCCGCCCTTCCCGGGGTCAGGCCCGGGAGGGGGGTCGGAGCTGTCTTCCTCCATAGGCAGGGGTTTGTCTGCTGGAGGAGTAGGGGGAGGTGGAGCAGACCGAGGGGGCTGGGAAGGGGGAGGAGGGGGCTGGGGGGAGGGGAGAAGACCCACCTCACACTCCATCAGAGGGATGGGCTGCAAGGTGGAAGAAGAAGAAGGAGAAGAAGAAGAAATGATAGAAGAGGGGTGAGGGGGAGAAGAGGGGGCGGAGGAAGAGTCCTCCCCTAGAACCCCATAGCGGTTAGAGAGTGGCACCTCAAAGGGGGTTGCCACAGGGATAGTAACGGGCTTTTTGTTCTTAGTAATCTTAGGCACAGAGATTTGCCTGTTGACCGCGGGCTTTGGGAGGTCGGTAGTAGAATTACTTGCCGACCTCGTGACCTCCTGGGCTGCCTTTGAATACGACCGGCCAATGACTGGGGTTGTGATTGGCGGGCAGACAACCTTGCGGGCCTCCTGGAAGGAGCAGCCATTTCGCGCCTTGTATTCCTGGATGGCGCGTTCTTGGAGCCAAGTCGGGCACTCCTTGCTGAAAGCTGTGTGCTGGCCGTGGCAATTGGGGCAACAAGGACTAGCCTTGCATTCCTTCTCAGGATGCCCGGTCTTGCCACAACGAGGACACACGGCTGCGTGACGGCACCGTGACTGGCTATGGCCGAACTTCTGACACTTAAAACAGCGCAGAGGGTTCGGCACATAGGGTCGTACGTCGAGTATCAAGTAAGATGCCCGAACGGTGGCTGGAGGGCGACACGATTCGAAAGTGAGGACGATCGTGTTCGTTTCAATAGTCTCCCTCCGCCGAAGAGTAATCCGGCGGGCTTCGACCACTCCCTCACAGTGCTCCACAATTTCTTCCATGGAGCAGCCTTTCAGCTCATGGCTGCGGACGACACCTTTCGAGCGGTTGAATTTCTGGTAGCGCTCGGACCTACATGGAATACCGCCGAAGGTCGTGGTATCCAGGAGTTTGGTCACTTCGTCTTCAGTTGCGCACTTGACGATGAGTACACCAGAGGATAGCTTCTGGACATTCGTAGGAATGTATCCCAGAACCTGTCGTAGTGCATCTCCCGTCTTGAACAGATTCAGATAAGTGATCTTCTTCTTTGCGTCTTCTTTGCAGAAGATGGCCACGTACGGCTGCTTAGGAAGCTCCCTGGGAGAAGGGAGGAAAGAAGCAACGGTAAAGGTCCTTTTACCTGTTTTTGAATTTTGGCTCGGCTCGGCGGCCGCACCCGCTTCCGCGAGCCGAGATTTTTTAACGTTGGGAGCTGGGGAAGGGTCTTTTTTAGATTTGGATTCCATATGAAATTTATGGTTGATTCTACTCCGGGGCACATTGCTCGGATGACCAGAGCTGTGCCAGGGCTACCCCGGAGCTATACTCTCAACGAGAAAGTACAAGACCCTCCCGTCAAGATTGACCCAGGGCTTGATGGAGTTTCAGCTCTCAACCGATTGAGTGGCATGGGCCGTGCCACCCTCTCGTCTAAGAAGAAAACCTGGGCCAAAGAGGTGTGTTGGCGAGGGACAGTCCGTGGACTGATCTCACCTCAACCGCCAGGTACCCAGTTTCCCTCCGCACGGGTCGCACCTCACGGTCAACGAGGCGCCCACTCTGTGGGATGGGTGACCTCTCTTTTTACTGCACATGAGGTCAGCGGTGGTAGGAAAGATAGAAGAAGAAAGAAAGAAGGAAGGAGAAGAGGAAGATACACCAAAGTAGGCGTCACATCCGGATCTCAGAGGATTGGGGTCCGTGTGCGACACCTCGCCTTTGAAAGGGTTGCACCTTCTGCAGACGAAGCAGTGGGTCTATTTATATCCCCCCGACCCACTGGGGGTTCTCAACGAGAAAGTACAAGACCCTCCCGTCAAGATTGACCCAGGGCTTGATGGGGTTTCAGCTCTCAACCGATTGAGTGGCATGGGCCGTGCCACCCTCCCGTCTAAGAGGAAAACCTGGGCCAAAGAGGTGTGTTGGCGAGGGACAGTCCGTGGACTGATCTCACCTCAACCGCCAGGTACCCAGTTTCCCTCCGCACGGGTCGCACCTCACGGTCAACGAGGCGCCCACTCTGTGGGATGGGTGACCTCTCTTTTTACTGCACATGAGGTCAGCGGTGGTAGGAAAGATAGAAGAAGAAAGAAAGAAGGAAGGAGAAGAGGAAGATACACCAAAGTAGGCGTCACATCCGGATCTCAGAGGATTGGGGTCCGTGTGCGACACCTCGCCTTTGAAAGGGTTGCACCTTCTGCAGACGAAGCAGTGGGTCTATTTATATCCCCCCGACCCA